GTAACATGATTTGCAAGACACACCTGGCTGGTTGTTATATTTACGAGGCTGCTAAACAGAAACCTGACTAAGATTTCTTCTGGTCAAAAAGAGCCGATGTGTAATACGAAGGTAGTCACATCGTAGGGATTCCATTGTATAGACACAATGATCACATATGGCTCGAAACTGTTATTTGTTGCGCTATTTCTAGTGTACTGAAAGCAGATTGCGTGGCTACTCCCTCGCACAAGCAAGCCTACCCTTATTTGCAGTGGGATCTTTGCTTTCGATGGAACAACTTTCTTAGAGATGTTAACAAACACATTTGGATATTCAGGCAGGTTAAAGGAACCACCGTTAGATGTGATGGTGTAAGGTGGGGACGATTTGAGACGACAGACTACGGTATGCGCAGAGCATCCAAATATTTCAGCTTGGGCAAAAGGAAATTGAAGGTCTGGAACATCTTTAGCCGAGGGATATTCGTCTTCAATGTCTGTAATCAAAAAGGAAAATACGAGATATAATGAGGCACCTTCCTCCACGGAGACTGCGGTCCTTTGGGCAGGACCACGAACTACAACCTGAGGTTACAGCTGGATCCAATTTCCGCGCTTGCGATTGTTAAACGTTCAGCTTAAATGTTCTACTCTGTAGTCCAGCTAACTATGTTTTGCAGATCTTTCAGTAAATCATGGATAACAATCGCAGAAAGTCGGANAAAAGAGCCGATGCGTAATACGAAGGTAGTCACATCGTAGGGATTCCATTGTATAGACACAATGATCACATATGGCTCGAAACTGTTATTTGTTGCGCTATTTCTAGTGTACTGAAAGCATATCGCGTGGCTACTTCTCCGTACAAGCAAGCCTACCTTTATTTGCAGTGGGATCTTTGCTTTCGATGCAACAGCTTTCTTAGGGATGATAACACAAACATTTGGATATTCCGGCAGATTAAAGGAACCACCGTTAGATGTGATGATGTAAGGTGGGGACGACTTGAGACGACAGACTACGGTATACGCAGTGCATCCAAATATTTCAGCTTGGGCAAAAGGAAATTGAAAGCCTGGAACATCTTTAGCTGAGGGATATTCGTCTTCAATGTCTGTAATCAAAAAGGAAAATACGAGATATAATGAGGCACCTTCCTCTACGGAGACTGCGGTCCTTTGGGCAGGACCACGAACTACAACCTGAGGTTGCAGCTGGATCCAATTTGAGCGCTTGCGATTGTTAAACGTTCAGCTTAAATGTTCTATTCTGTAGTCCAGCTAACTATGTTTTGCAGATCTTTCAGTAAATCATGGATAACAATCGNAAGGAGTGAACGAGAATGGAGTGAAATCGTTCCACCACTACAACTTGGAAAATAATAAATATTTTCCACGTTAAAACGAACGCCTACCTCAGCAAATGTCATGGTTGTTAATCTTTTCGGATAGCTTTTATACTGTGAAAAGATGAAGGTAAACGGCCGACCTCGAGCATTCGGTACCGCCCGGTTTTCTCTGACAGTGGCACCAAACCGCTTTTTCCCTGTGTGGGAATCATTGGTTGTCGACACTATCGAAACTGCGTTGCCAGTAGACAGTGCTTTAAGTATAAGTATTGTGTTTTGAACATGCATAGTTAACGTTAGTTCCCGAGGTCTCGCTGACCTGACTTAGACATCGACAACTAACACCCCAATGTGAGGAATGGTCGCATCGGACACAATAAGTCGTCGATAATATTTAGTTGTCGATAGCAAATAGTTGTCGACAACCCTTGAATGTTTATAGTTTGAGGAGCCCCAACATCTAAGATAAAGTCGTGAGAGAAAGTGAAAAGACAGCCTGCAAACCTGACAGACTCCAAAAGTTTTCAGTTCCTCCTACGTCCTCCCATCCATTTGTCACCTTGTCAGTTAGCTTTAATATCACCAGTTCATAGCCATGTAGGTCAGCTGCGCTGTGGGAGAGTGCCAACTGCACCCCAGCTTTGAATTCCAGAGCTTCATCGCTG